CACATCTGACAAATACCATAAACACAGACACCAGGCATGTGGTGACCACTTGTACTCTATGTGCAAGAAATCATGTACGTGTGTAAATGTGTGAGTGTCTAGACCAGAGAGTGTGTGTTGTGATTGTTGCACAACCAGCAACAACTGACCAGCAGGATCTTCACAAGGTCTTTGGCTTTTGTTCTGGGGTTGATACGCACATGTTACACACTTCATTGCTGGGACACAGAACCCGTCTCCTTCCTGAGCAATATGATGACATGGACGTTCCCATGGTGTTTTTCCTTGCTTATAATTGTTTGAACAATGAACGTGGAACCTTCAGGCATCTGGACATTGTACCCAAGGATGAACCAGACTGGTGGAGGTCCTCAATTCTCTTCCTGATATCTTATTAATATCTAATATTTTTTAGATGTTCCCATGTTGTCACAAAGGGAAGCAGTGTGTTTGAGGTGTGCCTTGAAACGCATGCACGGGTGTGCCTCCAATTAACTCAAATGTTGTCAATTAACTTATTGAAAGCTTCCAAAGCCATGACATTGAAGTTTAAAGGCATAGTAATCTTAGTGTATGTAAACTTGTGACTTTGAAGAAAGTAAAAAAAAAAAATTCTCTAAAAAAATCTGTCTCATTATTCTGGCATGTAGCAAATAGAAATAATTTTGACCTAAAACAGAAAAAGTTTAGTCAGATTTAATGTCAGATAATGAGAAGGAAAAAAAGGTTTATGTCTTTTTATACACCATATGTAGACTTCTGGTTTTTAACTGTATATATATCATTTATTTAAAAACACACACAATGACTTATGCACTGACATAATATAACATCAAAGAACCATTTCTTTTAATTTCCACACCAGTAAAATAATTGCAATATTATTTAAAGATGAGCAAAACCACTGTCATCAGAGAAAAGACATGGAATAAAAATTGACTGGTAGTAGTGTTCAGTTATGACAACATTAGAATATATGCTAATATAAATAATGAATACAGTGACATTTAATATTGTCAGCACATGTTGCTTATATTGCACTTTTACTCAAGTGTGATTTTTAATCCATGTTTTTTTTTTTAATAGAGTTTTGTTTTATGTTTTTTTTTTTTTTTTAACTATTGTGTTATTTTTGCTTTTACTTGAGCAAATGCTAAGACGATCATAGCTTTACTGTCAATGACTTTTGTCCAGACTGTCAAAGTTAGTTCTGTCTGCGTCCATCCTCATGTTTTGAAAATCTACGAGCCGCTGACAGGAAGTCGTCATCACGCCGCTACGTCACTTGACGCTAATGCGGAAGAGGTCGTCATCGTAAAAGCTGTGAGTTGGAAGGTCTGTGAAATGTGCTAAAACCGTTGCAATTTTGTGAGTAAAACAGCTTGTGCTTCCATATTTTGAATGAATTGTACAGTTTCTAATAAGAGCTAGTGTTTTGTGGACGATGTGGGACATGGTTTGTGCTTTTTTCTGCCTCATAGCAGTTTAGTTCATTGCATGTCTCGTGAGCCCGGCAGTTCACGGTGGAATCCATCACTGGCTACATGTCAAGTGAAATATTTCTAAAAATGGAAAGCTAATATGATATGCTCGCAATTGCCCTGTGGTATAAACAGCCACTCGGTGATTTTTTTTTTGCTTCTGTAAGTTGTGTGTGTGTGTCATAAGGTGCACAGTCACTGCTGTGTCTGTCTGTCTGTTTAAAGTATTTTTAACAACCTGTTTCCAGCTCGCTTGAAGCCTGAAGATGTCGTGGATAAAAGAAGGTGAATTAAACCTGCTTGAAAAGATTTCTGCCAATGTCTTAAAGGTAAGGCAGGGTCTGCAAAGTAGCTGTTTTGCCTCAGGTTGTGCCTCTCGTGTTACGATTCAATCAGAGCTGAGCATTAGTTTTTTTTCCCGCAAAGAGGAAGCTACACGTTGGAGCTCAAACCAGAATCATCCATGACTCTGTAAACCATTTGCAAAATAACAAGTTTCTGAAATTAAATAGAGTTAGTATCTGTAGCTTCACCCATTTTTTCTGTACGCCCTGTTTGTGTTGATTTTTTGAACTGCATATATTCAGTAGAGATTGTGCTTCTGTTGTTCCTCTGTCGTCCAAACAAGCAGTGTCATTTCCAGCTACCTGGTTAGGAAACATAGTTACAGCTTCACTTGGTAAATGTCTTTTTACATTTTAAAAAAAATCAGATTTCAGACAGAATACTTTTTTTTTTTTTTTTTTTTAATCAAGATGGTTTCAAGAGCTGTAAAATCCCTCCAGAGTACCCAGTGTGGTTAAACAAGTTTCTGGGATTATGGCTTATTGATTTCAATTGCATTTTCTGTCACTCAGCTACATTTTTTTTTGTCACGTCACATCTCTTCTGGCTAACCTGTTCTGTTCTGTGCTGCGTTTACCAGGCGGGACCCATGCCTAAACATGTGGCCTTCATCATGGATGGCAATCGACGCTTTGCACGTAAGAAAAACATGGAACGCCAGGAAGGACACATGCAAGGCTTCAACAAACTAGCAGAGGTGAGTCTGCGTAAAGACTAGAGCAGGGATCTCCAGCTCCGGTCCTCGTGAGCTACTGTCCTGCAGGTTTTTCCGTACTGCAACACACCTGACTCAAGTTTATGGATCTCCAACAGCTTGTTGTCAAGTTCTACACAAGTCTGTTAATGATCCTTCGATTTGAGTCAGGTGTGTTGCAGTACGGAAACGTCTAAAACCTGCAGGACAGTAGCTCACGAGGACCGAAGTTGGAGATCCCTGGACTAGAGGAACGCCTGCCATCTGGGTGTCAATAAACTGCTCATTTAATATTTAACCCATTCTCTCCTCCACAACAGACACTACGCTGGTGCAAGCATCTGAACATCCCAGAGGTGACGGTGTACGCCTTCAGCATCGAGAACTTCAAGCGCACTAAAGAAGAAGTGGACGGGCTAATGGAGCTGGCCAAGCAAAAATTTGAGAGGCTGTTGGAAGAACGGTGAGTTCCAACTTAAACTTTCCACTTTGCTGTTATATGCACCACAAGTCACATTTTATTCATCATGTGATTCATCGCTTCCTTAAAGTAAAGTGGAGCGGAACAAAATGCAGTGCTCAAGCACAGCCGCCTGTTAAATAGATGCCTTTTCTAGACTGAATCTTAATTTTCAGCTTTAGTCATCTGCAGACAGATAATGAGCCAGTTGTAACAAGAATTTGTTAAAGGCTGCCAGCCAGTGGGGGGGAACAGATTTTTTTCTCCTCAAAGGCTGGAGTTCACTGTTGATGTTTCAGTGTCAGTATGGTCAAATTTCAAAACATCCACAGGGATCTGGCTGGAAATGTTGAAACCTTTTTTTGGTGCAGCTGGACACAACAGCAGTTTACAACACTGACACAGAAACAGTTATTGCTGCATTGGACATTGAGTAAGATACACTATGGACTGATGGCCAAGAGGAAGAAAGGCTGACTTATAAATAGGAGTGCACAATCTCAGTTATTTCCATTGCTATTTTGACTTCTTTTGACTTCTTCTTGCTGTTTTAGTATGCCAGAACATATCGTGTGCACTTGTGGATTTTGCATCAAACTTTGCCCTAACTCTGGTCTGCATTTCCCAAATACTTTCAAACCAGCTAAGAACTGCCACAGTTGAATTTTGAGGCAAATATGGATCTGCAAATCTGCAGCTCCATGGCACTTTTTCAGACATTGCAAAGTATTTCTCCATTCTTTTCCACGAGCAGGAATATTTTACAGATGGCTTCTATCTTTCCTTTTGGGAAATGAACCTTTTGTCATCCATCAGTTCATAGCTTGTTAGCTAAGCCAGTCATTTATTGTTCCACATTAGTCTGTGAATGAGTCCCACAGGACCATGTGACATCTGTAACTAAGTCCTGGAGTTCAAATGTTTGTATTTGAGACAATTTAAAAATGTAGTTTTGTCTAAAAAAAAAAAGATCTTCTGTGAAAATATGTGACATGTACCAGTGTGGCATGTTGGGAATAATCTTGATTAGCCCTGACACAATAACATTTTATGATACTGCTCCATGTTGTTAGTCTGTACATCAAGTTCTCTGACAACCCTTGTTAGTACAGTGTCATTATGATGCTGCCACCACAAAGACGGCTTTTGATAAAGTGTGATGAGTGTTATTAAAATAATCACCAACACTTGACAAACTACCTCTAATTTCCCTGAGAAGGGATCAATAAAGTTCTACCTTATCTTATTTTATCTTATCTTATCTTATCTTAAGCAAGAAACTGCACGACAGACTGTTTCAGGAGAACTGTATTCACTGACTTCTCAGTGGAAATTCCTACTTGTAAGCACCTTTGTTCGTCTGTGGGTTGGAAATGCAGACGGACACGTTTCAGCAGTCATGCATAAATGGCGTAATCTCTCTGTGCTCCCGGTTCATTTTCATGCTTTTCTTGTTTTTGCCTTGGCCTCTAAATATTATTCTACTGTGCCCCTTAGGGACAATCTGGAGAAACATGGCGTTTGTATCCGGGTTCTGGGTGACTTGAACATGCTGCCACTTGATCTACAGCAGCTTATTGCCAAAGCTGTGGTCACAACCAGAGCTCACAATAAGTATGTTCAATAATTTATGCTTTTATTATCTTCATCATTAGTGACTCAACTACCACACCTTGTGTTATTATAATACATTATAAAGGACCTCAAGCGTGTAAATTGTTGTTTTGTAGATGTTTTCTCAACGTGTGCTTTGCCTACACGTCGCGATATGAAATCACCAATGCAGTCAGAGAAATGGCTTGGGGAGTGGAGCAGGGTCTAATCAAGGCAAGGTAAGCGATGGAATCCAATCAGTATTAAATAATGCGCTAAATAGCATGTAGAAATATAACCTGGGGAACCACTGCTTTAACAATCTGTCCATGTTTCTGTGATTCTCAGTGACGTTTCAGAGCCATTGCTAAGTGAGTGCCTGTACAGCAATAACTCTCCCAATCCTGATCTGCTCATCCGCACCTCAGGCGAAGTGCGCCTCAGTGACTTTCTTCTTTGGCAGGTGAAGAATGGGAGCGATTGTTTGAAAAAGCATTTGAAGATAAGAATTGGGTTTCTTTTATATGCCTCTTCAGAGAGTTCATTTAAACTTTGAAACCATCAAGCTAAGAGACAAGTAATGAATTTACAAACTTGCTTGAGTTGATCATTACAAGTTTTGATATGACTTTTTTTTGCATGTAACCCCAGCAGCTAGACTCGTATATTTCAGGTTATGTTACCCAGGCTATTCACCTCCAAACAGTAGACGTGACTCCAAAACAGTTATTGATGCCTTCAAAATGAAAATCTGTGATTTACAGTTGAAACCAGACGTTTACAGACACTGTATAAAAAGACATCTAACCTTTTTTCTCTCACTGTCTGACATTAGATTTGACTAAACTTTTCCTGTTTTAGGTCAGTTAGGATTACCAAAATTATTTCTATTTGCTAAACACCAGAATAATAAGAGAGAGAATTTTTAATAGATTTTTTTAATTACTTTCTTCAAAGTCAGAAGTCTACGTCCATTTCCTTAGTATTTGGTAGCGTTGCCTTTAAACTGTATGACTTGGGTCAAACGTGTTGGGTTTCCTTCCACAAGCTTCTCACAGTAGTTTCCCTGGAATTCTGGCCCATTCCTCCTGACAGAACTGATGTGACTGAGTCAGGTTTGTAAGCCACCTTGCTCATACATGCCTTTTCAGCTCTGCCCACAAATTTTCCACGGGATTGAGATCACTGACTTTGTTGTCTGTAAGCCACTTTGTAACTGATTTGGTGGTATGTTTAGGGTCATTGTACATGTGGAAGACCCATTTGCGCCCAAACTTCCTGGCTGATGTGTTGAGATGTTGTCTCAATATTTCCACATAATGTTCTTTCCTCTTGATGCCATCTATGTTGTGAAGTCCACCAGTTGCGCCTGCAGCAGAACACCTCCACAACATGATGCTGCCACCCCTGTGCTTCACAGTTGGGATGGTGTTCTCAGGCTTCCCCCTTTTCCCTCCAAATGTAACGATGCTCATTAAGGCCAAACAGTTCAGTTTTGGTGTCATCAGACCACAGGACATGTCTCCACAAATGAAGCTCTTTGTTCCTGTGTGCATTTACAAACTGTATTCAGGCTTTTCTATGTTGCTTTTAGAGTGATGTCTTCTTCCTCTCTGAGTAGCCTTTCAGTCCATGTCGGTACAGGACTGGTTTCACTGTGGATAATGACTCTCTGACCAGCTTCAGCAGCATCTTCACAAGGACTTTTGCTTTTGTTCAGGGGTTGATACGCACATTTCAAACCAAAACACTTTCATCTCTGGGACACAGAACCCGTCTCCTTCCTGAGCGCTATGATGGCTGGACATTCCCATGGTGGTTATCCTTAAGTATAATTGTTTGAACAGATGAACATGGAACCTTCAGGCATCTGGAAATTGTACCCAAGGATGAACCAGACTGGTGGAGGTCCACAATTCTCTTCCTGATATCTTGGTTGATCTCTTTAGATGTTCCCACGTTGTCACAAAAGGAAGCAGTGTGTTTGAGGTGTGCCTTAAAATGCATCCACAGGTGTGCCTCCAATTAACTCAAATGTTGTCAATTAACCTATCAAAAGCTTCCAAAGCCATGACATCATCATCTGGGCTTTCCCAAGTAGTGTATTTTGAAGGCCTAATAATCTTAGTTATGTAAACTTCTGACTTTGAAGAAATTAGCCAAAAATTCTCTAAAAAATTCTCTCTCTCATTATTCTGGCATTTAGCAAATAAAAAGAATTTTGGTAACCCCAACTGATCTAAACAGGAAAAGTTTAGTCAGATTTAATGTCAGACAGTGAGGAAAAAAAGGTTTTATGTGTTTTTATTCAGTGGACGTGGTTTTAACTGTATGTGTCAGCATTTGGGTACAGTCACATTCTGCATATCATTTCCTTTAATCTGTAGCAATGATCCAAGATGAGAAATGATGACAGGATTTTTTCATAAAAAATTGTTTTAGAACAACTTATTTATGCCAGTTAAACTGTTGTTAATCACTATTAACAGCCATTAATGATTAGATCTTTGGCTTTCTCTGAGAAATACCTTCCTGTACATGAGATGTTATTATTATTATTATTATTATTATTATNTTCAGGTTATGTTACCCAGGCTATTCACCTCCAAACAGTAGACGTGACTCCAAAACAGTTATTGATGCCTTCAAAATGAAAATCTGTGATTTACAATTGAAACCAGAAGTTTACAGACACTGTATAAAAAGACATCTAACCTTTTTTCTCTCACTGTCTGACATTAGATGTAATTAAACTTTTCCTGTTTTAGGTCAATTAGGATTACCAAAATTATTTCTATTTGTTAAACACCAAAATAATAAGAGAGAGAATTTTTAATAGATTTTTTAATTACTTTCTTCAAAGTCAGAAGTTTACGTCCATTTCCTTAGTATCTGGAAGCGTTGCCTTTAAACTGTATGACTTGGGTCAAACGTGTTGGGTTTCCTTCCACAAGCTTCTCACAATAGTTTCCTGGAATTCTGGCCCATTCCTCCCGACAGAACTGATGTGACTGAGTCAGGTTTGTAAGCCACCTTGCTCTCACATGCCTTTTCAGCTCTGCCCACAAATTTTCCACAGGATTGAGATAACTGACTTTGTTGTCTGTAAGCCACTTTGTAACTGATTTGGCGGCATGTTTAGGGTCATTGTCCATTTGAAGACCCATTTGTGCCCAAACTTCCTTGCTGATGTCTTGAGATGTTGCTTCAATACTTCCACGTAATCTTCTTTCGTCATGATGCCATCTATTGTGTGAAGTGCACCAGTCCCTCCTGCAGCAGAACAGCCCAACAACATGATGCTGCCACCCCCGTGCTTCACAGTAGGGATGGTGTTCTCAGGCTTGCAAGTTTCCCCCTTTTTCCTCCAGATCTAACGATGGTAATTATGGACAAACAGTTCAGTTTTAGTTTCATCACTAGGCTTTCAGCCCATGTTGGTACAGGACTGGTTTCACTGTGGATAATGACTCTCTCTGACCAGCTTCAGCAGCATCTTCACAAGGTCTTTTGTTCTGGGGTTGATACGCACATTTCTCACCAAAACACTTCATCTCTGGGACACAGAACCCGTCTCCTTCCTGAGCGCTATGAAGGCTGGACATTCCCATGGTGTTTATCCTTAAGTATAATTGTTTGAACAGATGAACGTGGAACCTTCAGGCATCTGGAAATTGTACCCAAGGATGAACCAGACTGGTGGAGGTCCACAGTTCTCTTCCTGATATCTTGGCTGATTTCTTTAGATGTTCCCACGTTGTCACAAAAGGAAGCAGTGTGTTTGAGGTGTGCCTTAAAATACATCCACAGGTGTGCCTCCAATTAACTCAAATGTTGTCAATTAACCTATTAAAAGCTTCCAAAGCCATGACATCATCATCTGGGCTTTCCCAAATGCTGTATTTTGAAGGCATGATAATCTTAGTGTATGTAAACTTCTGACTTTGAAGAAATTAGCAAAAAAAAATCTCAAAAAAATTCTCTCTCTCATTATTCTGGCATTTAGCAAATAAAAATAATTTTGGTAATCCTAACTGATCTAAACAGGAAAAGTTTAGTCAGATTTAATGTCAGACAGTGAGGAAAAAAAAGGTTTTATGTCTTTTTATCCAGTGGATGTGGTTTTAACTGTATGTGTCAGAATTTGGGTACAGTCACATTCTGCATATCATTTCCTTTAATCTGTAGCAATGATCCAAGATGAGAAATGATGACATGATTTTTTCATTTAAAAAAAATTGCATTAGAACAACTTATTTATGCCAGTCAAACTGTTGTTAATCACTATTAACAGCCATTAATGATTCGATCTTAGGCTTTCTCTGAGAAACACAGATACCTTCCTGTACATAAGATTTTATAATTATTATTATTAATATGTAATTGTGACAGACAGTATTGACTGAACTGTAAAAGCATCACTTAAAGATTCTCTTTAAAGACTCATATTGATTTTGATCTTTGCAGACTTCCCACTCCTGTTTAGTGTTTCAGTCGGTTCTGTGGCCGGAGTATTCATTCTGGAACTTGTGTGAAGCCATCGTCCAGTATCAATTAAGTCACAAATCCATCCAGGTAAGGCTTCTGTCAATGCAGTGGTTCTTTCTTGTCCCTAGTGTGTTAATCTACATTGGAAAGGGTGAACAAATCAAGAACATCTAAGACTATACAGTGGCTTTCTAGTAAATACTGATTTTGAGGGGTGCTGTTTGGAGTCCTTTCTAGTGTATTTATTCATTTATGACACTCTGGTGTTATAAAACGATATTCTAATGGTTGTCTCCTTAGCCAGTGTTGGTGAGGATCCCTAAGCTCCTGCCTGGCTAATTCAGTTAACCTCGTGTTCGCCATGTGTGCCACAAGGTCGGCCCTTGCTCCCATTTTAAATGCGCATTGGTGTTTTAGAAGTTCAAACAGTCAGTACAAAAGCAGCATCACAGGGGATCTTAAAAGCAAATAATCAAGTGATAAAGTGCTTAGTGAGCAATCATACTCATTTGTTCAGCCACTACTGCAAATATTAGTAAGTATTTCTTTGTGGACAGTGTGTGTCATGATTTGTACTGTCTGTGGATATGAGGATATCAGGATTTCTGTACACATCCACGTTACTGCCCAAAGCAGCTGAGGATTGACTAAAGTAATACCTGTGTATGTATACCAAGTTTGGATGTGTGTTGTGTTACAGAAAGCCAGAGACCTCCATCGAGAGCATCAGGCCCTACAGCAGCTGGAGGCCGATCGTGTGTGTGTAGCAGAGCACCTGCAGCATCACGGGAATGGAAAACCTGCCGACGCCCAGAGGAGACAAGAGGCGCTGCTGCACTACACCGCCTGTCGGGAAGATCGGGTTCAGGACTTCCTCGAAGCCCTGAAGCACAAGAGAGACTCTTTCTTTATTGACTTATGCAGTGAAGCTGTCTCAGCCTAGGAAGGCTTAGAAGAGCAAATCCTCTGAAGTGATGATGAAACCTCTCCTGTCCTCTTCCCAAAGGGCTTCTGTGGACAAGGGAAGAGCAAACAGTGACTGGGAGCGGGTTCGTTTTGTTGCTGATTTGTACAGGACGAGAGGTGCAATTTTACCCCTATGGGGCTGTAGAATAATTGTGATATTTATGATTGTAGATTTAAGAAGTCTAATATGTGGAAATGTCTGGTCAAGACATAGTTAAACAATCGTGTAAATTGTGTGTCAAATGCATGCCATTGGTTGGAAGGTCAAGTTACGTGAGCGAGAGATAGGGATCGTGGGTTTTGGAAATGTCCCCGAAGCAGTCATCCTTAAGAGCTCAGTACAGTGTTGCGTTTTTGTTGAGTGTGGTCTTACTGACATAACTATATTTTGACCAGCTTTCTTTAACAGAATAAAGTGATTACTGTACGTCAGATATGATTAAATGATGTGTGACTCACTGTTTTGTACGTATATAACACATGTCCAACTTCTTGCCTCCATCTGGCTCTTATATGGTGATAATGTCTTAACTTGTGCTGCGAACAATTATGATCTTCGCAAGTTCTATGCTGCTGCTTATGTACAGCATCGGGGCAAACCAAATTGCTGTGTTTGGTTCAGATTCACGGAGCCTTTCTGCAATTACATGATGCATTCATTTCTACTGCTACCTGCTGTTGTACATTGTCACTAATGGACCACTAGTTAGAAATGTATATTTTAAATGAATCTTGTTTATAATTACCATTTTGGTTGACTCTGTCAGTGATGCAACACAAGCAAGAAAATAATATTTTTCACTATTAAATTTGAGTTTCCATCAACTGGGGAAACCTGAAGACTTATTTTTCACAACAAATCTCCATCTGTTCCCCACGAATACAACGTCACTGATGTAAAAGTTTTTTTTTTTAAAAACCTACCAGGCTTAGCATTAAATATACATAAGTTCTAACAAAGGGGTTGCAAGAACATTCATAAGTGTTCATGGTAGAAGTACAATCCAAGCAAAAAAATGAGAATATGAAAGCGGTGAAGTGAAGGCAGGAGTGTCAGTCCTTGTGAAAAAATATCTACACTGACAGGCCTGTCATGAAATATAAAAAGGGTGCCCATTTCTTGCAAAAATCCTCAGTCTTTAATTTCTAATGCCAAATACGAGACGTCTTAAATCAAATTTTGTCCTAAAATGTCCCTCCACAGGCAAGACTAACACACAAAACAGGTCATAGTCTTCATGAAGCTATTTTAAATACCGTGCAGCACTTTTACACAGTGGTAGACAAAGCATGGAGATAGTCTGGTCAAAGAAGAAACACTGTGGAGTTAAAAGATCTGCATTCAACATTTTAATAACATAAGTATGAGCATTAAAATGTTCCGAAAGTATCAAAAGTCACAACGCTCATGCTGTATTATATATATTACTGATGCATGAATATGTAAGCAGCTATTTCATGTACTGTGGGTAGTTACCATTTTATTTTGCAAACATACAAACCAGCTCTACATGAAAATACCTGATGTTAGAAATAATTGCATTGCTCAAATAAATGGAAGAAGTACAAAGCCTCCCTAAAATGGAGAGGAACAGAAATATGAGGCAAAATGGAAGCACTCAAGTAAAGTAAAAGTAAAACTATTAATTAGTTCTTAAGTGCTTTTGTACTCGTTGTGCTATACGACTGTCTTGTGTACCTAAATATTTGGTCATAGTTAGGTTCGTTCGCAGGAAACGTTAAGTTTACACCGTAAACAGTGTGGAGGAAATACAGTGACCTGCCATGTATCCGATCACAGCCCGAATCAAACGGACTGCGTCGCCACAGCGCCCCCTCTCGACGCTCCTCAGAACCTCTCCAAGCCGCTTCCTACCTCTTTAACAAGTGGGTGGTCCTTAGAACCACGTGACACGTCTGCGTCCAATGACAAGCGTCGAAATAGAAAACTGGTTCGAACCGGTTTCGTTCTTATATTTTGGTGTATAAACTACAAAAACATTCGTTTGCATTATACATTCGCCATTTTACGCTGCGACTGCTCGGTTGTTATCTGTTATCTCTTCGATAAAAGTCCGTGTAACGGCTGTATTTTTGTGAGTTTTCTGGTCATTTGTAGCCAGCAACATGGGCAAAGCAAAGGTAAGCGTTTTTTTAAATTTTTGCTTTATTTTAAGTCTGCGCGTTTGCTTCGTGCTGGTTACTTGGGGTTGAACGCTGGGCTGCGTTTGATATTTCTGCATCAGAGGAACGTCATCATGCCTAACAAACGTTCGAGCAATGGCGGCACGATAGTGGAGATCTATACACGCACCCTCCCATTCGTCGAAAAATAAAAGCTTATGTTAGTACTATTCGCACAAAATATCCCCTAATGACTTAGACACGACTGGCAGCGTTCATTTTAACGACGTGTCACCCAGCGTCTAGGCTCTGGCAAGTGCAACCGTTGACATGGCGCTGGGGGGAAAAAAAAATCTAACGGTATCTGTTTTTTCCCTGTGTAGCGGTAGGCAGGGCAAAAAAAAATATTGACAGGTTAAACGCGGCGGCAAACTTTCCATGCACGACGTGAATGTTTATTTAGCCAGCACGTCAGCGTGAGTACAAAAGATAGGATTTAATTCGCCCAACGTTAATGCTGCGTGTTTATTTAGAAATGAAAATAGGCTCAAGCACAAGCTGCAAATATGAGGAAGGAGTGGGGGAGGGGAGGTGCCTGTCATGATTTGTTTGTCTGTTTTGAATAAGAAAAAAAATCGGGTTTGTTCGTGCGTGTTAAATCTGAGCAGGTTTAATATTTCGTCACTTGCGTTGTTGTGCTCGACATTAGATGTAAATAATTAAACTTTGCGTACGCAGTTTCAGAAAAAGCCCGACTGAAGCCATTTTTTTTTCTTAATCGTTTGATTAATTTGTGAGCGGTTTATTGTTTGAGGATTAATAACATTTTTTGGGTGTAGTCTGTTGCAGGGTGCGATGTTGTTTAAAGATATTTACGTACCAAAATGTAATATTTACTAATTAAAAAAAAAAAATTAAATTTAAAAAAAAAATCGATTAAATCTGTACAGAAATGTCGCGGTTTTCTTGTGTCCTCTGCAGGCTTGCGTTTAGCTGCTATATTGTGCAGCTACAGATTAGCAGAGTAATAATCTTATCAGTTTCCCAACAGCTGTCTGTCGGCGCGCAGGGATACAAAACAAAGGAAGCTGTCAGGGCGCCAAGGCGGTGTCATGGTGACAGGACAGTCCGAATTCGAATTCAAATATGCGCGGGAAGCTCTTTGTGAAATTCAAAATCAGCAGCAATCTTCTTAAATGACTTCAGATCCTGTGTGCATATTTTTTTCTTTTAGTGCGAGATCACGCATTGCAGGAAGGAAATTTAAGATGATTTAGTGCTGTTTGAGTTGTTTTGAACAATGCTGTTTTAAAATTCTAATATTGTGTTTTTCTGCTCTTTCTCTTTCAGACATCTGTCGCCCCTGAGGTTTGTCAGAAATAACCCGTTTGTTTGTATAATTTTATTTTTATATTAATGCATTGGGTTTGCAAAAAATATTGTGAAACTATGTTTTTGTTTTTTTTTTGTCATAAAATGTTGCTTTTAATGTGATTACAGTTAGTCTGTCTATTTATAGTTTCTGTTTTGATTTGATTTTAACTGGGCAAACTATCTGGCATTCTGTAGTTGTGTAAATATTGAATTTGTTTTAAACTAGTTTTACTCTAGTTTTTCTTCTCGTTTCACCTCAATAGCAAAGAAGATGCTCTGCAAGACTGGCTGCATCGGTAAGCTCCTTAGAAACACAATTAAATAGTCAATTTTAAACAGTTGCAATATGGCTTTGTAATTGCTCTTGTTTCTCATCCACGCGTAAATCATCGCCTGATAACGGCTTTCCATCAAGAATAACTTCAACCAGTTTAAACTGAAATAGTCGCCAGTGTATTTGAGTTGTACAATTGACCTACAGTTTGTAATTATTTATTAAAATCTCTTGATCTAATCATTACTTTGTGTGAAACAATGAAGTAACATAACTTGTTAATGTATTGTGGCTATGGTCAAATGTGAGAATTCATTTTTCACAGTAACATTGTCTTTTAATGTGTCATCTATTATCATACAATTTTAAATCCCTTTTCTTTTTTGAGTAGCAGAAATCCAAACCACCACTGGAGGCGAAGAAGAAGCCTATAAAGGTACAGAACTTCTCTGTTAGCAGTATGTCACAAGTGAAACCACTTTGGTTCCTTGAAAGGGAACAATTGCCCTCCCTCCTGGCCAAAAGGGGAACTCCCTTTTGGCCCTCATGATTTTATTTATTGACCATGTGATTAGTGTGAACCAGCATGAGAGCGCTAATCTGTTTGTCATTGTCATTTTATTTTGTAGAGGGTGCCCAAAGCAAAGAAGGCCAAACCAGCTGAGAATGGGAACACTAAGTGTGAGGTGTGTTACTTTAATGAGAAACAGCTTCCTCTAGAAAGTTTGCACAATAGACATGTTCTTATTCTTGCCGGTAATTTTTGCTGCATCTGGTTTTTTTGTTTTGTTTTGAGTTTTTTTTCCTCATTTTAGAGCGCAGAGGTAAAAAGATTAACTAATAAAAGAAATACAGTCTGTCAAATAAAAAGTTAAAGAAAATGAACAAAACTACATATAAAATCTGGATGTGTTGGTTTCTTGGTACTTTTATCTTTGTCAATACAAGAAGTTGTCCTGTTTTTGTATTTGGCCACCAGCTAGATGGTAAAGTTGGTCACTTTTTGTGTTTATTTGGGACAGTAAGGAATGAAACTTGCAGCTATCCAGCAAAGTCCTCAAGAAAACCAAAAGGAGAAAATCAAAGTGTTACGATGATCACAGCAGACAAGAATGTAGTCGCACGGCCAAAACAAGCAATGCACATAACGTGGCTGCTGTCCTCCTTTCTCTCCCCAGGAGCCGAAGGCCGACGCCACTGAAGCCAAATGAACGGTTGATGTGCTCACTCTGTCTACTTGGTGATTGTACAGTTTTAAATAAGTATTTTTTACCAAGTTTTATATTACAAATGTCATTTATAGGTTTGTTTTTGGCTTGCACTTGATGTAAGAAAACTTTGTTTTCAGTCATATCCATTTTATATCCATTTAAAAGTAATTTCCGTCCATATCTTGTAGACGTGGCATTTTTAGTTTGTCTAATCAACTTTTTTTTATTTTAAACTGCTGAATAATAGATATTTTCCAACAAGTTGGATTTTGAATCTAATTTTAAACATTATGAGGCAGCTAAAGCATATTAAAATTTGCAGGAGAATAGGAACTTTGCCTTTTATCTCCTTGTATTTTAATGTTGAACTAATAAAAGAATTGCTTACCAAATGTTTTGAAACACTGTATGTTGATGAGATCTAGTCAGTTAAAATGCCACAAAAAAAAAAAAGAATACTGTCATTAGGTCAAAAGTTTGATAGATCCCAAAAACATGTATGAGATGTGAACCTGGTCATCAGATGAAGGAGTTCTGTTAAGTTATGTTTCTGTTAGGAGAAAAGAAAGCTTTTCTGACTTCAATGGTTGATCTAAATGTTCTTGAATAAAACTTTTCAAAATGTCCTTATTGGGTTGTTTTGTTTCTAAATGTTGTGATGCAGAGATTTTTAACGATGTTAAGTCATCTGGAGATTCCACCTTGGAAGAACACGCATTTTAGATAATTTTCACCCTTTTAGTACTAGTGGCTACAGGTGGGTTCAACTTCTTCCAATGTGATGATTTGTTTATAATGTGCATTATTTATCTTAAGGTTTCCCTGCCACCAGATCTTTTGCTTCAGTGAAATCAATGCCACAGTTTCAGAATTGTAGAAGTATATGTCCTGCATCATTGGCAAAAAAAAGTAAGTATAAATAGAAAAGGAGTATAAAAAGTATACATTTGTTTAAAACCTTTTAGTATATGTGCAATATGTCAAACACCTTTTATACAAATATCAACAATCAGATGAATGTAGCGGACAGGAAACTGCAATGTTTCTCTGTGAAACATAGAGACACAGACCAGCATATTAATGAAGTTAGGGGTATATCTCACCTGGTTCCCATGTACAGGGGCTATGATCCCAGGTGCGTAGGTCATGAGTTTGAATCCCACTCATGGCCCTTTTCCACAAGGCTTCGCCCATTCTTGCCACTTTCCTGTCCTCTTAAATTGAACTATCAAATAAAGGCAAAAAGATGTTTTTTAAAAAGTTTAAAAAAATTAAGTTAAAGTAAAACATTTCAAGCATTAAATTTTAATAACTATAGCCTACATTAAAAAAGCATTAGGAAAAATGTCTTGATATATTCGCATGTTTAATTTTGAGTGAGTAATATTCACCAGTATAATATAAACCATGTATCTTGTGTCCTACTTCAGTAGCTGCAACCACAATCATGGGGAAGACGGCTAACTTGAAAGTTGTCGCTGTATCAGAGCATATTCATAAAGTTGACTGTGTGGTAGGAAAAGGTGCACAAGCAACAGGTATGAAAGCTTGAGAGGATTGTGGAGAATAGTTGAACTTGGGAGAGCCTCACCAGCAGTAGACCGAGGCTGTTGTCAGTGTATCAAGAGCCACCGACTACACAAGTCTTAAGGAAAGGAGCTACAACCGTCACGTTGCAATGGGGTTGATTCGCACATTTCCCACCAAAACACGTTCATCTCTGGGACACAGAACCCGTCTCCTTTCTGAGCGCTATGAAGGCTGGACATTCCCGTGGCGTTTACTGGTGTATAATTGTTTGAACAGATGAATGTGGAACCTTCAGGCATCTGAACATTGTACCCAAGGATGAACCAGACTGGTGGAGGTCCACAATTCTCTTCCTGATATCTTGACTGATTTCTTTAGATGTTCTTATGTTGTCACAAAAGGAAGCAGTGTGTCATCCACAGGTGTGCCTCCAATTAACTCAGATGTTTTCAATTAACCTATCAAAAGCTTCCAAAGCCATGACATCATCATCTGGGCTTTCCCAAGTAGTTTGAAGGCATCTTAGTGGATGTAAACTTCTGACTTTGAAGAAATTAGCAAAAAATAATATAAAAAAATTCTCTCTCTCATTATTAGCAAACAGAAATAATTTTGGTAATCCTAACTGACCTAAAACAGGAAACGCTTAATCTGATTTCGTGTCAGACATTGAGAAAAAAAAGGTTATATGTCTTTTCATACAGTGTGTGTAAACTTCTGGTTTCAACTACTGACCGTGATGTTACTGATTGGCCGGCCAACTCAGCTAAACTGGAACCCATACAACTCAGTGTGATGTATTTTCAACAAGAAGATGAGAAACACTTAATCTAAGAATGCAGACCAACTGAAGGCTGTTATCAAAGCCACCTGGGCTCCAATAACGTCTTGATGCCACGCCACACTGATGTAGCTACTTGGAGTAAAGGCGCCCCAACCAAATACTATATATATAACTGAACACATTTTTTTTAGAAGCTGGACTTTTATCTATTGTAATCATTTTTTGCTTGAGTTTAGGAATAATTTCAGATCTATTATTTCTGATTTTCAAGGGTTGTACGCCATCATCATCAAAATTAAAACGACTTTAAATATTCTACTTAAGTGTATAAACGAAGAATATATTAAAGTTTTTAAATCAAATTGGGAAAAAGTGAACTTCTTGGGATGCACTTGCATGAATTTGCACAACATTAAAACACGGTACAAGTGCTTTTCCAATCCCTCAGCAGTGTCTTTGCTCCACAGCGCCAGTAGGGGGCGGTGCAGCATCACCACAGAGGGATGTAAGGGCAGATTTTGCTCCAGCGGGGGGCTCCCTCTGCTTTCACTTCTCCATCACAAGAAAGTGGGTCAAAAATGACGCGTCTGTGTTTGCAAACATCCTTCAGGACGTTGTTGGCATCTAGGGTGTGTTTAACCTGTTGTAAAGTTTAAGCAGAGGCAGTAAAAGTTAAAATATGGGTAAAATGTAAGTTTTTCTTTTCTTTTCCTTTAAAAAAAAAATCTAATTAAAAAACATCAGCAAAATGAAGCATCAGTCGATATGATTAACAGTAAGGACGACTCCAAAATGACTAAACTTGCTTATATTTTAGGGTAATTTTTTCATCTTCACTTTATATCCCTTCATTATTCCTTTCAAGAAAAAAAGAGCAGAACATAAATCTCTAAGCATCCTTTGAAAGCTGTAACCAACTCTTTAATCTAAGTTTCCAGTATACAGAGTGCTGCACTTAATTAATCTTAAATTTCCTGTATCATCCCTACATTGTTTCCCATCAGTAAAGGTGCATCACAACATAAATCAATCAGACAGTAAAGCACAAAGAAGATTATTAATTAAATACGACAGAAGAAAAGCAAACGAGAGGTCCATTACTCGCCGCAGAAGCAGCAGTTGATAAAGCAGGTCCATTAATGGTTGTTCAGTCGTACCGGTCACCACTTTCTGAGCAACTGAAGGACTTCTCACCGATATTTGCTTCAAAAACGTTTCCTGTTGGCAAAGTCACGTTAACCCTCCAGAGAGATCTGATAAACCCAAAAACCAACTGATAAACTTCACACTGAAATCAAAGCTGCATCTCAGGTATCACTTCTTAAATACTTCTTTATTTGAAATTCCCCGCTATAGGTCAGCTTGGGGGGCTGCAGGGTGGAGCAGTGGTTAGCACTGTTGCCTCACAGTAAGATGGTCACCGGAATCTTTCTGCATGGAGTTTGCATGTTCTCCCCGTGCAGCGTGGGTTCTCTCCGGGTTCTCTGGCTTCCTCCCACACAGTCCAAAAACATGTTGAGGTTCATTGGTGATTCTAAATTGTCCGTAGGTGTGAATGTGAGTGTGCTTGGTTGTCTGTCTCTAAGTGTAGCCCTGTGATAGACTGGTGACCTGTCCAGGGTGTCCCCTGCCTTCACCCTGAGTCAGCTGGGATAGACTCCAGCCCCCCGCGACCCTAGTGAGGATTAAGCGGTGTATAGATAATGGATGGATGGATGGAAGGTCAGCTTGGTAAGCCTCATGTTTGCCACTTAAGTATCCTCTGAAGCACGTGTACAAGAAAGACACGGAAATTCCAAAGATGACTCTCTTCACTCACCCTCACTCTTCCGATCACAGCGTTCCTAAACTTGGAGAAACCGTATGTTAGTCTGTAAGTGAACCCTGCAGAGTGACCACATGCAGCACCAGCAGACTGTTATGTCACTTGACATGCAGTAAAGTCTGGCTCAAAGGTGATCCTGAGTCATGCATATCAGGGGTAGCACAGGCTGCATGGTGGGCTTCAACAACTAAGGCATTCAAGTCACTTCATAGGCATGCACAGTAAACGCAGGTACTGATTCTAAAGAGTGCATTCATGAGGAACAACACCATGAAACTCACTGGTTTATTTGCCTTTGCTGCACAGAGTTGAAGCAGATCTAACCCCTCCTCATAGTTTACCCTGTGGCCCCTTTTGTATCACACAGTAGGAGATACAGTGAGGCATCATTCTTCTCCTGTTATCACCTTTTGCTCCAGTTTAGCCACGTCTGAAGTGAAATATCTAATCTGAAGGACATGTTAACAGTGCAGTACGACCGTGCTTTTTCTCCCAGGTGAGCAATACATATGAATCCAGCGACCCCAGACAACAGGAGGGTGATCCGCCCCCACCTCAAGGCTCCAACGTGTCTCTCTGTCTGCTTCAAATCCAGACAAGGTTGGATAATTTCAGGAAAAACAAGCTGCCTGTGGAGAAAGCAGGACTTCTCCTTAAAAGTGGTAAAAAGGTCAAGATGTACATGTAGCTTCACATTAGCAACGCGGTATAAAAACTACAAGTTAAAGATGCATAAAGCCAGATTATCAGAGTGCTGTAGTCAGAGCTGTTTCATGTGAGCTGTCGCTGAATAGATTATTTCAGATAACTTATCTAAAGACAAGCATAAAAGCAGGAACCAGTTGGTGCTTAGCAAGACTATTGATATTTTAAAGTAGAACATAAGATTTAATCAATCACTTCTACAAATGTCATATTTTGCAGGAAAGTAAATCTGTTGAGTGTTAATTTAGGTCAAGTTATGCAACCTGATGCATCTTTGATGTTCCTAATCTGCCCTTGGCTTTATCATTTGTCTCTGGAGGATTAATGTGATATTTCTAAGTAGTTAAATGTTTTTCCTGTTTGTTCACCAACATGGACAAGAAGGCTTCAAGATACAACTGTTCAGGAAGGTCATGTGATAAGAATGAAATCTGAGTTGAAGACTGTGGTGAGATTGTTTAAAGTGTCCAATATGCTACAAACAAAACAAAAAGCTATTTCTATTGGGTTTGTGTTCATTGTAAACGCGGATGTGTAAAATAAAACCTGTTCAGATATAAAGACATTTGCTTTTGCCATATCTCCTCCGCATAGACAATTTGCCTTCCAAGAATTTGTGCTATGCAACACCTAACAGCCCAGCAGTCATCCAACGATGGCAGCTCTCGCTGTCAATCACACACAGAGACAGGGTGTTCTTCCTGGAGGGGGCGGGACCAGCAGCAGCTCATTGGGTTTTAGAGCAAAACAGTCCGTCTAGAACAGCCCTAAAACCACAGAGC